TGCGTGGAAGGTCGGAGTGTTAACCACTCGACCAATCCGCCCAACTATAAAATATTTGCTACACCTAATGTAAATAGCATGTGTATCATAATACCCATTGTCGTGTCTTCTATGACAGCCCAACGTCACGTGGTTAATTACCTTGGGAAATTCCTTTGAAATTTGACGGTGTTGTTATCAAATTCAGTATACATTAATATGCAAGTACTTTGATATCCTTGACCTTTATTAGATAAGGTGTCATGGAAAGGTTAAAGGTCATCGCCCTTTGTTTGTATTGATCCTTGTCAGTGGTAGCTTGAGGACTGTGTTAGAAAGACAAGATCGGTGATGGAGAGTATCGAGGTATAATTACAATCCAATTACATGTAGACTGACATCTTTGTTTCTTGGAAGCAAGACCTTGACGTCATTTAGGGGTCAAAAACATGCCAATTACTGCTTCATACAGACTAATATTAGGCTTGTACGTGATAGCCGTCAACCTCCTCCGGTCGAAGCTATTCAGTGATTAGACCGGACAAGTATTGGTAATGACGAAGGGCTTGTGAAAGATAATTACATTTGCCTCCTATAAAAAAAAAAAAAAAAAAATGTCTGGCAATGTTTTTTATAATTCAAAGAGGAATGCTTTTAATGGAATACTTTTTACTAGTTTAAAACCGATTCGGGTAATGACATTTTATCTGTGTCCAACTGCGTGAACTTTCAAAGGCGAATGATATTGTATCCCTGAAGAATATGGAGTTATCTTTTTATGTCCTATGCTACCATTGTAATAGTTGGAGTCGTTATCTTTTCTTGTTTTTTTCGATCCCATGTTTCTCCTGCCATATCTAACGTTCATTATGATACTGTTCGTCTCTGTGTAACCTTTTCGTATTGATGGCCATTATCGCTCTCACGGACCAAAACAATGCAATCAGATATCAAAGTTCATCTCTCGTTCTTACCGTCCAGTCGTAACCATTTATCATAGTTTCCGGGGTTTTCTTAAATTGACCAATTGCTAAAAATAATCATTTGGCTTGTGTGTGCTTTACGTCCTACTAACAGCTACGATCATATAAGGACGTGACAGGTTTTGCCGATGGGTGAAAACTGGCCATGGAGTGCCCGGAGAAAAACCAACGAACTGCGGCCAGTACAGTACCTGGCGACTGTCCAACGTAGGACTCGAACCTGCGACCCAGTGGTGCAGGGCTAACATTCGTCCATGGATGACGGGCCCGATTAAGTGACACGTTAAGGTTGAATAACCTAAATAAAACAAACGATGATACCGTATTACTCTAATGGCATTAGGTATCATGATAAAAATGTCAAAAGTTCAATGAAAAGAAGCTCGTACAAGTGTTTAAAGTGCACTATTTGTCTTTCAGGTTCTGTTTCGATGGGGGATTTATTTGCTGTTATTATAATTCATCATTTTTTTAATTTATTTTTTATTTTTTATTAATCGATTGTTTTTTCGTTGTTTGATTATTTATTTGTTTTTCATATTCATTGAAATAGACAATTTGACATCTTTCATATATTCATTAAAATGATGTTCAAAAAATATGCATTTTAACACTTGAATGAAGGTACATGTATACCTTTCACCCAATGAAGCTGACTCGAAATTCTGGAAAGTACAGCATGACGTCAAACTTATTTAACGGACCAATTGGTCGATAGATAATTAACTGTTGATATGACAATGACAGCTCGGTGCTCTCTTCCTAATCCTCATTTTGTCCAGCAGCTGATTTGTATCTTATTCATCGATCTGTTTTTGTCTTCATGATAGATCATTCCTTCATTACGTATATATTCTGATTTTAAAAAAAAATCGAGATGTCTCTTTATAAATAACAATATCTAGGACTAGATATTTATCCAGTTAACTTCCTTATGGTGTCACGTTTCTGACATATTGCTTCTCAAAAATGTATTTTACATCACAAACAACTCCCAGAAATATTTCGGTTAAGACGAATGTTTTGTTGTTGATTCTGTTCGAGTTAATGGAGCACTGAATTGAACATTATGACAACTTGTTTACTAGATATCATATTCACGTGATTACGCTATTATTGTGTAACAAACGGGATATAAAATTGTTGTACACGTTTTTCTGTGTCGTGTCGTGTTAAACCTGGGACGAAAAGGTCAAGGTCACCCTGAGTTCTGCGTCACAGGACTTACTTACATCAAACACTTAGAACACAGGTAATCTAACTTTGATTAATTACTAACATTTCAACACTCTCTTTTGTGTGACACAGAAATTAAGTAATCTCATTTTATACAAAATATATCTGGAATTTTACAAAATTCTAAGATATGACAGGTTTGAAAAAGATATACAAACTATAAGTTCAAACAGGGAATTTGTTTCTCAAAAACAAAGTTGCAAAATTTTCGAATTATTGCATATTTTCTTTCTTATCGGTAAAAAATACAATGGTATTGGAATATTATAAAATAAGTTTTATTCTAATTTCGACCGGAAATCTTTTGTTAAGTAAATGACATACGCTTACTGTATCTCGAGTAATTATTACAACAAATAGCAAAATTAGTACAATTTGTAAACTTAAAGACCGATGTTAGTGCATTCGTCTGCAAATGATGTTTTTCGTTTATATTATATTGTCAGTTAATGAAGATGTATTGATTTCTGCTTCCGGTGATGACGTCAATCGGATATGCTACTTCGAATATCCCAGACGATTTCCGTCGTATTAATTTCCACGTGGGTTGGACGACCAGAAACGGGTCAAATTTCCTATTATTAACGCTTTGGAGACGTGCTAATCCATATTTTGTTTACCTGGCTTCAGTTCGTGAGAAACAGTTGAGAATATACCATCTGTAACAGCCATAGAAAACGTATCATCACCATCCGGTCATTTTATGACGAGTAATCGTTATTTCACGTGCTTCCGGTCAATACTTTACATAAACAACCAGTCGGCAAAACTTGGTTAAATTAATTGGTTATTTCTCGACCAACCAATGCAAACTTCCAGCCACGCTTGCTTTCGGGTTTTTGGGTTTTGTTTGTTTGTTTGATTTCCTTTTCGTACAAAGAAAATATTTGTATACGACTTACATGTGTATAGCGATTGTAAACGATTGACATGAAAGACATAGAAAGGCACATCGTTAGTGGCAGAGGTGGACCAAAAGTCGTTTGTTTTTAGCGTGTTCGTTAATTGCATCAAATGTATGTACGGACAATCCAACTTTTATATATAACGTGCAAATGCCTTATTATGATAGATTAGAATAATGCATTAAACAGTAGATATAGGTTTAAAAATCAAAACTTACACTGGAAATGGTTAATGGCTGCAGATGTACTGGAAAGACAACAGTAGTTCTAAAGTCCACGTGAAACGACTATCTATTTCTTAATAATAGATCTTAGATGAAGACTAGAAAAAGACGAAATATGGTGGTCACTTCAGGAAAAGGACTAGGGGCGTTAAGGGCCATTTTCGGCCTCATCGGGGATTCAGAAATAAACGAAGTACGCAAATATGAAAATTCAAATTCATTTGACAACTGGTTTAGGAGATATGGCATTACAAAGAGAGACATTAATCCGCATTTTTATAATAAAATGTGTTGATATCGTCTGTTGTGCGCTATTTGGTTGAATATTTGCATTTTTTAAGTAAATTAACTTAACACTCTTCACTTTTTAAAAGCCTCCGCATGCACCAAGCAAATATATATTTGACATGCTTAAACATTGTCGTACCAGTGCTCATTCGGAGAAAAGATTTTTTGTTTGTCATGCAAGGGCTTTCATATCTGCATGCTTACTGTCCAAAAACATCATATTTTGGCTCTTTCTGCATAGCAACGCGATTTTGATACTCTGAAAGGCGTATGCGCATCGAAAAAAAAAACTGCACCAAGAAAGATAACTCCAATTTACCAATATGATGTTTATAACAGAAATTGGTAAACACATTCCAGTTGATTTTTTTGATTTTTTTATGAGGTCAAAAATGACCCATAACGCCCTAAGTCCTTTGAAGAATTGGGTATATAACACTGTGATTTTATGCCAAAGAAAGATCGCTGCACCTCAGTGCTTTGGAAGTGAAATCAGAACCGTTCAGTTATGAAGCCCTCGTTATGAGTTCAACTGTGGGGTCAAGCGAGACCTTTTTACCTACCTACAGTTTTACAAAAATCGTGGTAGCATATTCATAATTACAAATGTATAGCATTGTTTTATTAGATCACATGTATGTTTATTGTCCAATTGCGGTGTTTTAGACATACTACCATTTATCTGTATATTTAACTATTTTATTGTATACAGTGACATTAAAAGTTAAGCACATACAACGTCAGTTTTCCTCTCATTAATATTAATTGCAGGTTCTTTAAATGACTACTTCAAAACAAACGTGTTTTGCCGTCTAAAGCATTGATTTCACGAAATATCTTAATCAATATTAATAATACTAATAATAATATACAACATTTGATATAGCGCCCTATCTAGCTAACATAAGCCACGCTAAAGTGCTTTACAGTACATAGATATACAATTAATACAATTAGGATATACAATTTTTGAGGAATTCGCAGGAGCTGCCTTATCAGGCGCTAACTACTAGTCCTATGCCACCTTGCTAAATATCTCCCTATGTGTGTATGCCTGCGTGTTTGCTGGAGATGTATTGTGTTCCTTTCCTGAAACTTTCTTCATACACTCGTTATTAATATAATATTACGCAAACAGTTTTTTTAAATGTTACGATGTATGATAATGTACATAGATATATAAATGGTAATATTTTTTGTCACAACATATTGCCTTCTCTTGTTACTACAGTATACACAACATGCATACAGTTGTAACGTTACACAAGAAGTAATTGATCAGCCCGCTATGTTTTCCAGATATATAGGGTAGAGTAAAGTGATCCTTCGTAGATCAACCAGTCTTGAACTTAAGAACTTTTCCTCGCCGCAAAAGCACGTGTGGGTAACAACATCACCTGACAGTGGAATGCGCGTGGACCATGTCATGTTCGACTACACTAAGACAGCGTGATATTGGTACGGCTCAAACTGTCACCAGACATTGTTACACATGATCTCTGTGATATGGCTAATCATTGGGCGATGTAACAACACATGCCTCGGTGGACTGTGTCAGGAGGGACACCATTGGACTCAATACACTGTGCGACACTAGTACATATATATATATATATATGAATACGAAATTAGTGTGGATTATTGTTGCTGATGTATAACTATCGAAAATGTCTCGGACCACAGATCCGGAATCCTGATCATATATTGCATGAACACCCTCTGTTGAGCGAGATCAGTTTGGCTGTGGACATCATTGACTTTACTTTCAGCAGTATAACGAACAACAGGTCATAGCGCTAGTATTGTTTCATCACCTACCTCCGTGAACAGGACTTGTATGCACAATCTGAACCCAATATGCCGTCGTTTTACACTTTAGAAATATAATAATGCAAAATGAATTGAAACGAAACTTTTACTAGAATACTTTTTAAATTTATCTTTATTATTATTCATATTATTCAGTATACTTTAATAAGTGTATATACACACTGTTTAAAAATGGGAGTGTATAAGATACCCCGGTATACGATATGCATGTGATTAAGACTATTTGTTCGCGGAGTATTACTTGCAATGCACTAGTGTAGGCAGGGGGTTATTGGCGGTGTCACTTTCTGACGAGGACTGACACTTCCCTGCTACAGTCATCGTAAAACACATATTTGTATAAATATACATTTAACCATCAGACAACCTACCAGTGATAACGATATGATATATATATATATTGATAAAAATATATATAAACGCTTCCAAGAAAACCAGTACCTATAATAGCAGCTCGTTGTTACGAAAGCTTGCTAACCTGCGCATGAATGAAAACTGAGGAATTTATCTCCGTGTGTTCGGCCGAGGTTATGTTCTGACTGGATTTGCCTTTTAAAATGATCACCCCTCCGAAGATCAAGAAGTGGACAACGTATGATATTTTCAACGTGAAGGTCAGTTTAATGTTGTCATATGTTTAGCCATCTGTTAGATTTCTTTAACTTGTACGAAACACGTGGGTGTATATTGGGACATAGTCATTTGTTTTTGACCTGAATACGACGTTTTATCTTCAATATGCTGTCAGCCTAATGTATGTATAGTAGATACCACTGCGGTGTATATATCATGTCTAGCGTAGGCCAGACGGCTTCCTTTTTGGGACAGACTGTGTGTTATGTTATAATGACCGTAAATGTGTATTACTCGAATCATTTATACACACGTTGTCCCCCTATTTGCTTTACAATAATTACGTTTCTCTGTAAACTAACAGCGCTTCACAAAAAGTATAGAATGCAATTCTTCATTTATCGATTTATAAACAATTTATAGATATAAGCGTTTACATCAATTTTAACTGCAGAAGTTATTTTCTTTAATAGTTTCAGCGGAACCTTTTTAATAACTATAGGAATTTATACTGAGATTCCATTTCGTAGACATTTTATAAAACAATCAGAGAAAAGTTTTGATTTTAGCAAAGCAATGGCAACAGCTGGTTAGCCGCTGGTCAGCATAATATGACCGAGTGGAATATTTAGCTTGTTGCCTTCGACATGGTATACCAGTAAGGTAGCACTATAAAGTCGGCATTAGATCTCCGCTATCACAAGGAGGCAATTATCCCACCATACCGGCTCCAGCACACATGCACACATACACACATGCACGAATATGATTCACACCTTAGCTGTTCAAAGCACGTAAAACAAAATAAAACTAAACCAATCTAGCATTCAACGTCGTGACGTCATATATTGTCTTTAACGGAACGTCGTTATGTCATGATATCATGAATATTGTTTTAATTCTTACGTCACAATTGCTGATATTAAATGAGGATATATATGTTATAAACATGCCATTGGTTAATAAGCACCATACCATTTCATCAACAGTGTACGTCTTTGGTTCCTTATCAGTAGTTCCTGGTGTTGTCACTTCGTCATTACGCTGATTTTCACGTCATTGCTTGTTGAAGATCTGGGTTTATAAAAGTCTTTGGCATTTATTCCAATAACCAATACCTTTTAGTTCAAACTTTTTTTAGAACCAGTTTGGAACTTTCAGTTAGCGAGTTTTTAATCTGAATGCATATACAGACTATTCTGTTATGGATAGCGATATATCTCAGCAAAATCTATAACGTTACCAGTCTCGCCCATACAGGCAGTTTCCTACGATATCGAGTCATTTATGACTGGGTTTTAGTGATAATAACCGAACATGAGGAAGCAATGCAGAGCAAGCCTGAGAGATACTGTTTCATGTTAAATAGGGTTTATCTGCAACGATTGATAATGTAGAGTCATCTTCATAGATCGCGGTTCGTTATGCTATACTCAATAACACTCTGCTTCCTAGCTTTATCATAACGTCTCGTATCTACACACTAAACAGCTATTGACCCCTGTATATGGTTATCAAACCAAAGATTATTATTGCTAAAACGTCATATTCTGAGAGAGTGTGCTCTCGTCTGGTGTTATATAATGCAGTGTATAGGCTTAAATATCCATATGTTTGTTTATGAGCAGAAAGGTTAACATCAAGATGTTTGTAAATGAGCAGAGGGGTAAATATCCAGATGTTTGATAATGAGCAGAGGTGTAAATATCGAGCTGTTTGTTAATGAGCAAAGGAGTCGACATCAAGATGTTTGTTAATGAGCAGAGGGGTAATTATCGAGCTGTTTGTTAATGAGCAGACGGGTAAATATCGAGCTGTTTGTTAATGAGCAGACGGGTAATTATCGAGCTGTTTGTTAATGAGCAGACGGGGTAATTATCGAGCTGTTTGTTAATGAGCAGACGGGTAAATATCGAGCTGTTTGTTAATGAGAAGACGGGTAAATATCAAGCTGTTAGTTAATGAGCCGAGGGGTAATTATCGAGCTGTTTGTTAATGAGCAGACGGGTAAATATCGAGCTGTTTTTAATGAGCAGAGGTGTAAATATCGAGCTGTTTGGAGTATCAACCAGGTGCTTGCTTAAGATTAGAGATATTATTTTTCTGTTGCTCGTAAGAGATCGCATGCGTTGATATCATCAATTTGATCGGTCGGCAGTAAATTTTGAAATAGGAAAAAAACCATTACGTGTTTTTAGTTAATTTTAGAATTTAAAAAGAGTTATGTTAATTTAATTTCCCTTTTAGAGGTCGAACACACTATAATCCAATTTGATTGTGTTTGGAGTTGATACCTCTCTCATATTCTTGAAGGTTTAAGAGCAAAATCAGTTCAGTTGAAACGTCTCGAGTAGTTCAATCAATTTTATTTTCGCAATTGAATTCGAGTTTTATTCCCTAATGGGTTAAAGATGGCATTATACAGTCCCTAAACCTCTCCCCTTTCTTATATGATGCGATGCAACAGACAATACACCCTCGAGGTGAAGAATAGGTTATTTTTATTTGCATCGAATTGGAATGCATGCACATGTCTGGAATGCTCAGTAAAAGGTTTTTGGCGGATGGATGCATTTGAACAATTGCATATTTGATTGAACTGCAGTTGACGATTAAATGGTTTGCCCCTGAGACAAGATACCAAGCTGCAGACTTCTTAACCCTATGTAAATTGGTGTATTATCGTATCAACGGAATATTTCGACCTTACCGATTTTATCAGATTGACATTATCATTTGACAGATATGAATAACACAAAACCAACTGTAAAAAATGGACCTGGGGGTATTCGAAATACGCAGGTAAAATTTAATTAAATATGGTGAGATTAATTTGTAAATAAGATATAAAATATACATATTTATTCATGGAAGAGGATAAACAAAAATAATCAAAAGTATAGACATTGTTTGTAAGCAATTCACCTTTTCAAAGGTTCTTCATGGAAATATTTTGAAGGCGAAAAAGCTTGAGCATTACAAGAATGTATGACGTCATCAGTGTAATATTGACGTCGTAGTAGAGACACGTCACCGCCGTAGATATCAATAAAAAGGCATTAGTCTTATTTGAGTTTCAATTTTGCCCTTATAACTCTTTTGCATATTATTCTGTTTTTGTTTAGACAATTGTTGCATTATTTTCTGCCTGTGATGATTTTTTAATACAGACTCTGTGTCATAATCACACAGATACACACGTATCGTATCCATACATACCATCAGTATTGAGGTTAGTGAAACTAATACCTTTGTTAGCATACTTCATTGATTTTGGGGATCACCGCATCAAAACAAACCTGTGTAGCTGGCTAGTTTGACGATCATATCTAACTAATCTCCAAACACACATTAAAGTAAACAAGAGATATCAACACTAGCTTTGATCCTAGTGTGTGATGATAGTAGTCACACTGATACATGTACGCCTGCCAGCATGTATATACTTGATATAAGCAGTACAATGACAGAGCATACAAGACACTACTTACAAATGATCTACTTACTCAATACCTCTAGTAGCAGTGGTATATTATATTTTATTAAATAAAAAAGATTGACAAATTTCGTTAATTTGTCCTGGAAGATAACCATACTTTAGAAAGCTGTGTTCAGGGTCCGGTTGTTCAATGCCTTGTTAGCTTCACGATTCGTTAACACAATTTTTTTCTTTTTTAAAAGAGTGTCAAAAAACTTTAAAATAGTTTTTGTTTTGTTTTTATTGCTTTTAAATATTAATAATTTATCTTTGTAAACACCATTGTTTGTCTTGAATTTCACTATTTTGAAAGCATAATGATTTTAGAATTCTGTGTTAAGTTGTATTGAGCTAACCAGGCTTTACAAGTATGGATGTAGATATCACCAGAAAGTTCATGTTATACAATATACAGCCACTGATGATGTGGGATGCAATCACTCTGGTGATTGTTCTACTTACACAGTAAATTATCATTACAAAGCTTTGTAATGAGTTGACGCCTAGCATCTCATACGAGATGTTTACATTCTGACCGAGCTTTGTAGGGACTGGTCAATTACAATAGGCTTTCAGTCCCAGCTATGATTGAGTGTCGTATTAAGTGTGCGTCTGACATGTTTTCCTGACTTAGACGGTGACATTATAACGGGTGGCACATGTTGTGCTGACATTATTCTCCTGCTGTCATCTTCATTCTTGTTGAGGTTCCTGTTGTTGCCTTTCCTTTTGTTTCGGTGTCTCCACATTTTTCTGTTGTTGCCTTTCCTTTTGTTTTGGTGTCTCCACATTTTCCGATTGTTGTATTTTCTCTTGTTTTGGCGTCTCCGCATTTCCTATTGATGTTTTCCCTTTTGTTTTGGTATTTCCTCATTTCGGTGGTTTTTGGATCTTCTTTGAGATCCAAACGTCTTTTGTTGGTAAGGATGTTGCAACAAGTAGGCTGTTATGGAGATAGATGCCTACGGTGACACCACAAAAACGGTTGAAAAAGAAGACATGACACAAAAGAAAGGTCGTAAATGTTGCAATTCTTCAATATCCCCTTAGCAGATGACATACGATAACCCCCGAATCACTTCTGCAGGGAACCCGCATTAGTCTCCTCTTAAGATTTACAGTAGAATAAGCTGGTATTCCCTGTATCCTTACATGTACAGGGAGGGTCCCGAATGTGCCTTTGTGTGATGATACTGTAAGATAAAAACAGTTTTGTACAGTAAGAGTTCCGCATAATGCACACAGTATGTAGCTAAACCATTCAACCTGTTTTCTGTACATTTTTATTGGACAAAGCATGATTTAACCACCAGTGATCCTGTCATGTGATCAAGACGTTTTTAGGACAGTGACTGGTACTTCAGACTTAGAACCATGTGATAGATGAGTCCCTTTAGCAGTGCCTGTATATTTTCTGTGGAACCGAAAGGTGTAATACGGTTTGTACTTTGAAACGACTAAGCGGTAAATATAGTACAACTTAAGGACCATTAATAGACTGCATATAAAAGCACTAGTGGGTTCTACACTCAGTGAACTGCTCTTGATTTCGTTTTGAAGAAG